GGGAGGCGGCGGAGAGCGGTCCGCGCGCCGGGCCTGGGAGTCTCGTCAACCTCGCCCGCCGCCGGCCTCGTCCCACGCCGGGCGGCCGCTAGCATGTCGGCGGGCGGCCGCGACGAGGAGCGGCGGAAGCTGGCCGACATCATCCACCACTGGAACGCCAACCGGCTGGACCTGTTCGAGATCAGCCAGCCCACCGAGGTGCGCCGCGGTCGGGGGCGCGCGAGGGGCGTGCGCCGGGGAACCGGGAGGGCGCCGCTCGGACCGCGGGGCTTCGGGGAGGGCTCTCCGGGCGCCTCCGTCCGCCTCACTCCGTCCCCCCCGTCCGCGGGCCGGGTCTCCCCGACCCTCATCCCCCAACCTGCCGCGCCTCCTCCCTTCTCCCCCACCCCCTCGTCCTCCCAGATCTGCCGGGGCTCCCCTGCATTCCCCCACCTGCCGGGCCTCCCCGGGATCCCCTGACCTGTTGGGGGACCCCAGACCTGCCCGGTCCCATCCCCCCGTGCCGGACCCTCTCCCTCCCACCCCTCCCCCCGTGCCGGGCCCCCTAGCGCCTCTCGGGGCGGGGGTCTGGGCGGAGGGCTCCTTTGTGGGCCCGTTGGCTGCGCCCGCTTGCGGGAACACGGCAGGTGGACGGTGGGCGGGCGCGGCCCGGTCACCCCGAGAGCATGTGACCCGAGGAGCTGGCCGCGCGCTTCCCTGGGGCCGCGGCGGGGTCGCGGGGGAGGGGACGCGGGAGGTGGCCGCCGCGCGGGGAGGAAACGGGCCTCCGCCGGGGACGCTTCGAGCCCGGAACCCCGAGGCTGCCCCCGCGGGAGGGAGAGGCGAGCACCCTCACCTGTCCGCGCCCAGGTGCCGGAGGAACCCTTGTCCGGCACCTGACGCTCGGGGGACCCGGCGCCTTCTCCCGAAGGTCCCGCGCCTTCCTCCTTCGGCCGAAGCGGCTTCTTGCTGTCCCAGTGCCTGCGACCCCATCGTCACTCAGGGCCTGGGTCTCACGGTCCGGAGAGCGCCTGAAACGCCCGGGGGGTCCTTCAGACTTGGCACGTGCTAGGAAGGGGACCAACCAGGATGTTGCTTTCAAGATTCTGTTTTCTTTCACAAGAATGGGTCTGGTTTTTCCCTCCTTTACCTCTGGATTAAAACCAAATAAGGTGTCAAAATACTCAGTTGTTTTTCTATTTGAGTGCGTTATAATTTTAGAGCGATCTCTCAGGTTTAACCGAAAAGGCCTCTTTAGTAGTAGAGGATTCGGTGAACTCCTGGGATTTTAAATTAGGAGTTGGCATTTTATAAAATACCAATTCAGAGACACAGTTTAGTCAGTTGATACCCAATTATATTTGAAAGCAGTCATTGAAGCATTTTTCTCTTTTCTTAGAGATGTGCGAACTTTTCTTAGACGTCTGCGTAGTTTTTTAAAAAATAAAACTAGTCTGTCATTAAAGGAACTGGTGTCACAGGGCTGAGGCGCTTGGTTGTTGACCGAATGGTGTGGTTCGATTCCACCAGCTGCTCCAACGAAGCAAGATGTGGCCATCTGCTTTCAGAAAGACAGCAGCCTTTTGAAAACCCTTTGGGGCCGTTTGCATAGTGGTTTGAGTCCGGCTGCTGATCTCAAGGTCAGCAGTTTGAAACCACCAGCCTTTCCGAGGGAGAAAGGTGATGCTTTCTGCTTCAGTAAACATTCACAATCTCAAAACTCCTATACAAGGTCGCTGTGAGTCGGAACCAACTACACGGCCCATAAGCACCAGGGTTGCTATGAGTCAGAGTGGCAATGGTTTCGGTTTGATTTGATCTGTCCTTCAGTTTTTTTTCTTAGTTATTCTGCCCGTGATTAAATTGCTAGGTAATGCCTTGAACCAAGGCAAGAGTTGACGGTCCTTTAGGGTACAATGACTATTTCTTCTATTAGTCTCTCCTTCCCTCGTACGCCTGAGCATTTCTACTTGTAGAACTCAGCACTTTGTCTTGTGCATAGGGTCACTACGAATCGGAACCTGGAGGCCACTTACCAACAGTCTCCTCCCCACTTACAAATGTTTCCACCTGTAGAAATGATGCCCCAGAATTGGAAAGACTTTATAATGAAATGAACTGAGAGAAGAACCTTTGCATCCTCTTCAATGTGTTTGGTCTTTTAGAGGTTAGGTTTATGTCCAGCATGCCGGATCTTTTTATTATGACATAGGTCAACTACATCTTACTGATAATACTCCTCCATTTCAATCAGCTTTACATAGGATCATGTGTGAACTTTTTTACTATTTCATGATGAGTTTTACTTCATACATGTCTTTGTTTTTACAAGAATATAAACATTTATCCTGGCTCTTGTTGGATGTTCAGTAAATGTTGAATGAATTCGTGGCAGTGGTTGATTTGTGGGAGAACTTGTAAAGCTTTATATTTACCTATTTGAAGAATCCTTCATGTGGATGAGAGTCTAGTTGTGGGGAGTTTGTACATTGATCAGTCTGTTACCACAGTTTTTAACTATTAATCATTTATGATCAGTGGTTTGGAGCAGCTTTGATAATGACTGATAGCTCTGTGGTTTCTATGTTTTGGAAGAAAACAGGATTTGTCCCTTAAATTGCATTCACTTTTTAAGCAAATGAGAATATTTAAAAATCAGACTGGTTGAGTTTACTTTTTCCTTCCTATTCAGCCACCCTTGCTCTAGAGTGGATTCCCACCCACAGTGACCTGGGGCAGAGTGGGGAGGCTCTCGGGTCTCCAGAGCTACTGTCACAGAAATACCACAAGTGGGTTACTCTAACAGCCTGAAGTTTATTTCCTCCCAGTTTAGGAGGCCAGCCTCCAAAGTCAGGGTGTTGGCTATGGAAGAAGGTCTTCGTTTCTTTGGCTTGTTTTGGCTTCCTTGGTGATCCCATGTGGCTTGGCATCCGTCTTGCCGTCACTGCTCACTGCCTGTGTTTAATCTTCTCTTGTAGCTCTCAAAAGAGAGTGACTTGAGAGACAAGAGACACCCTACCCTAATCCTGCCCCATTCACACAAGAAACGCAACTATTCCCAAATGGGGTGACAACCCAGGGCATAGATTTTAGGATTAAGAACACGGATTTTTGGAGGACATAATTCAGTCCTATCAAAAGCAAGTTGCCTTTTATCCTAGGGTATTTTTCAACCCCTTCCTCATTTTAATTGGATGCTTTTTGAATTTGTGAAATACGAATTGATGCTCTAAGTTTGACGTTGATATTTTATCATTAGGAGATTGATGGTAAACTGAATTAATATGATTACTGTAAAAAGCTAAAGTTCATAAATTATCTTAAGCTTTTTACATCTGTCACCATCAGTACTCATGGAGGCAGCAGCCAAGAAATCAGGTAGCGTATTGCGTTAGGTCAGTCTGCTACACAAGACCTCTTTAAAGTGTTGAAGAGCAAAGTTGTCATCTTGAGGACTAAGGTACATCTGACCCAAACCATGGTATTTTCAATAGCCTCATATGCATGTGAAAGCTGGACAGTGAATAAGGAAGACCATAGAAGAATTGATGAATTTGAGTTACAGTGTTGGAGGAGAATACTGAAAGTGCCATGGGCTGCCAAAAGAACCAACAGATCTGTGTTGGAAGAAGTGCAGCCAGAGTACTCCTTGGAGGCCAGGATGGCCAGACTTAGTGTCTCATACTTGGGACATATTGTCAGGACGGACCAGTTGCTGGAGAAGGATTGAGAGTGGAGGGTCAGAGAAAAAGAGGAAGACCCCCAACAAGATGGGTTGGCCAAGTGGCAGCAGCAGTGGGCTCAACCGTGGCAACGATTGTGAGGTTGGCCCAGGATCAGGCAGTGTTTTGTTCTGTTGTGCATAGGGTTGGCACCTAACAACAACAACATTACTAAGAGATTCTTTTGTTTTCATTTCATTTGTTGTTGTTAAGTGCCAGCAAGTTGGTTCTGACGCAGGGTTTTCAAGCAGTGGCTGGTGAACTTGCACTGCTTACCTTGTGGTTCAAACCGACTTTGCGTCATAGGGCCTCTGTATAGGGTTTGAACTGCCAACCTAGTGGCTAGTAGTCCAGTGTTTATGATACAGCACCACACCAGACCTCTTTTCTTTCTGCTGTGAAGTGTCGTTGAGTCAGTTCAGACTCATAGCGACCCTGCATAGGGTTTCCAAGGAACAACTGGTGAGCTTGAACTGCTGACCTTGTGTTCAACCTGACGTTATGCTGTAGTGCTTTATCCCACAATGCTACACCAGGACTCCTTCTTTAGGGATTCCTAAGTATTGCAGAGCCCTGGTGTGGCACAGGTGTGGGTTAATGCCTTGGACTGCAAAGTCAATTTGAACCACAAGGGCAATTCAAGTTCACTGGTTCAAGTTCACCAACTGCTCCTCGGCAACCCTATAATGCGTTGCTGTGAGTCTGACCTGACTTGATGGCACTGAACAAGTATTATGTCAGTCCTAGCTGCTGGTGGAGTACTGGTGGGGCGCTGTAGATTGGAGGTTCAGACTCAGCGTCCGCACCTCAGAAACCCTATGCACGGTTGCTGTCGGTCGGAGTCGACTTGGTGGTTGCGCCTTCAGAAGTGCCTTCTCTGGAGAGCTTTTCCTCTTGGCTCTTGGTGTCTTTTCTATAATAATCACTGGCTTATCTGCCCTCTCCCTAGTACATGAAGGATTTTGTCACATGACAGGTGCTTAATAAAATATTTTATGGAAAGAATGTTGAGTCTGGCTTCTTTAATGACACAAGACTACTTTTTTCTTGACAAAGCATGGCACATAAGCCATTTTTAAAATTTGGTGAAAATTGTGTTGGGCTAGTCAAGATTTATGTTTTCATGCCTTATTTTTAGTTTTGTATGAATGATACATGTCTATGCAAAGAACTTCTTTGGTGGCTGTTCACGTAGCTTCACGAGATAGTTCTTAGCATCACTGATTTATTTACTGAATTCATTGCCATCATTCTCGGTGGGTTTGAGCTGTTGACCTTTTTAAATAACCAGGAAAAATAACTGAGCATTTGTGCGGACACCTCCATATGCTTTATAGTAGGTGGACATGATTTCTTTAATATTGGCATGATTCGGTCACAGAGAAGTGTGTCAGCAGAGATGTGTAGGAAGTCGTCATAGCTGCCTAACTTCTGTAGCTAATCTGGTCCTAGACTCAAATGCTTTTAGCTAGGTGGTACCGTGGAGTTGAATCGCTA